AGGAAAATAACAGAGAGAAGGGAAATAAACTAACACATACTCTCATAGACTGTCACAGTCCCACAGTCCAACCACGAAAGGAGAAAGGGGCGGGGGGTAAATGAATGACAGTGGCTTCAGGATAACCCAGATACCTCCAGTGGGGGAGAAGAGGGTAGAACTTGGAAAGGAGAGATCAGGAATTAGAGTCTAGAGGAAGGAAAGAGACCTGGGATTACTGCTTCTTTGACTAATCAAAAGCCCTCAAGGCAAAAAAAAAATGCAAAAAAAGTTAGGAAGGCAGGTAGGAGAGTCCCATGGAGAAAAAGCAGAACTAGAAGGACTGACACTGAGCATTGCACAGGGTCAGAGACTCCCACAGTTATCAACTCCCCCTGACCCCCAAACACCACCACCTGTTCTCTGCTCTTGTTGGGCTCAAGTGTCCTAGTAGCACGAGGGCACCTCTATTTAAAGTGTGCATTCCATATCCCCAAATCTGGGTTACCATATTGTCAAACAAGAGGAGAAAACATTTTTTACTGAAAATATAATTCTTCACAGAGCTCTTTTAAAAAGTGAGCTCCCAGCACAGCATTTAGACTATAATTCAATCTATATATAATGTTTCAGGAACAAACACAACATGCAAATAGAGTCACCAGTGAAAAATAACACAGTTTAGCCACATGCCCAGTACTCTTCTAGAAGCTGTCCTGTATTTACTCATTCAATTCTCACATCACTCTGGGGAGAGATACTATTAGTATCCCCGTTTTATCAAAAAGTAAACTGGGGCATGGGGCAGAAAAGCAAGTTGGTCAAAAGCCCACAGTTAGGCAGTAGTAAAACCAAAATTTGAACCCAGGCAGTCTGACTCCAGAGGCTGCACTCAAACGTCATGCTATACTAGTTATCTTCCACAGGGTGTTTGCCCTCAGTACCTGGCTTCATGCCCTGGCGGAGAAAGAAGACCCTAATCATAGAGGTGCACCAACCCCAGTATCACACCCAAACAACCTGCCTCTGCTGCAGCCCAAACCCCCAAAAGCCTCATCAGTGCTACGTGAAAAGAGATGACCATCATGAATCACGAGACTGACAAGGTCATGACATCAAGGTTGAGACTCTGGGGAAAGCTTGCAACGTGAGATGATTCCAGGTCTCATGCTAGTTGGCTGTTTCCACCTGCTGATATATATAACCACTGAAGTGAGAAGAACTGACTGATAGCGTTCCAGAGGAACCTGGTAGCAGGGACAAGAGTTAGCTTTCCTAGAGGTTCCCCAAAACATCTGGGGACAAACTGCTCAGGACCTTTTGGCCTAGGCTCTGCAGTCTTGCAGTCTATAAGGATGCTTACGCATGCAGACGCATGGGGACAGGAAACAACACTTCATCTCTCTGCAAACCCACCTGCTGTCTCTGTCTAAAAGATGGGCATGGAAATGCTCCTGTGAAACCCATCCCCAGAGCAATGAACCTGCAGGGAAAATAGTCTGCAGAGTGTAAAGACTAAACCTGTGAGAAAGTAAGGTGCCCAAGACATGGCGAGAAGTGAAATATCAGGGCCGATTCCCCTTAGGCCTGTAGAAATAAGCTAATGGTTCTTACCTGCAATTTCTGCTGTGAGCAGCACCCTCACAAAACTTAGCCCAAGAGATAAAGGGAAACTGTTAACAGTATCAACCCCAAGGAATTCCTGCACCCTGCTACTCAGCCTTACTCACTGCGTGTACAATAACACTGGCTCTAACTTGCAGCATCAATCAACTGTGCAGATACCCCCAGGGTGGGGGAGATAGAGATTCAGTTAAAGAAAGCAGGAAGAATATGCTGGGCTAGGGCTTCCCTGGTGGCGCAGTGGTTGAGAGTCTGCCTGCCGATGCAGGGGACACGGGTTCGTGCCCCAGTCCGGGAAGATCCCACATGCCGCGGAGCGGCTGGGCCCGTGAGCCATGGCCGCTGAGCCTGCGTGTCCAGAGCCTGTGCTCCGCAACGGGAGAGGCCACAACAGTGAGAGGCCTGCATACCACAAAAAAAAAAAAAAAAAAAAAAAAAAAAAAAAGAAAATGATGGGCTACACCAGCAGTCTAGCCCCAAGGACAGACAATTCACTGAGTCTACTTGTTTCAGAAAGGAAATTCCCCTGGTAGACTTTGTTTTAAATTACCATGTCGAAGAACTATTTCTCACTCCCACCAAGCAGCAAAGTCTAGAATTACAGCAATATTCTCAAGGTAAAATCCTGGGAGACAGCAGCCCCTCCTCTTTACCAACACTCACAACATTTCTTCTCTGACATTCGTAGATTTGTTTTGGTTTCATAGTTGTTGTTGTTCTGTTCTGAGGAAGGGGCAGAATTCCCAGACATGGCAGCTCTTCAGGGGATGTCTGGAAGGGACAAAGGGGATGTAAGGAAGGGAAGGAAGGAAATATCCCTCAAAATACTCAAAAGAGGATCAGTGCGGTATAAGTGAAAGAACCCTGGGCCAAGGGTCAAGTCCAGCCCTCATTCTCCCACTTAATAGCTACATGCCCTAGGATAAGTCATGAATGTCCCTAGCCCTCTGTTTCCTTATCTGTGAAGAGTTGCACCAGAACCCCGATCTATAATGCTGACTTAGGAGTGTACATTCACATGAATTATCTCCTTCAATCCTTCCAATAATCCCATAATAAAACAGATTTTGCTACCATTATTACTTCTCCCCATTTTACAGATTGAAAAACTGACGTTTATCAAACTAAGTGGCTTATCCAAGTTCCTTCCTGACCTCAGATTCCAATTTAAGAATCTGGGGAGAGTAGTGGCAGCAGCTGGGGGTGGGATGGGTTGCAAATAGATCAAGTTCATTATCATAAAGTAATTGCAGTCCAATGGTAGAATTCAGTTCTGAAAAAAAAATAAGTGGGGAAATCTCAAACATGTTCCCTTAAGGAAAAACTGTAGCTAGACCCGGGGACAGCCCTAGCACGTCACTATTTCTCCTCTCAAGCCCTTGACCGCACCCTCTCCCCATCTATCTCCTTAGGAAGCAGTCTATGGAAGAAACACTGGGGAGCAAAGAGGTGGCAAATAACTTCTCTTATTCTGGTGGTAAATAACTTCTCTTATTCTGAAAGATCACTTTCAGAATAAGGGGTAAGTCCTGACTCGAACGGGGGTGGGAGAGCCCCGAGTTCACTGCGCAAACCCAGACAAGGGACTCGTGAGGAAGGAAAGTCCTACTGCTTCAAGGATCTTGCACTGTTATTCCACTGACCACACAAAGCCTCTAACTCACACGTCAGCTGCGTCTCTGGGTCCCTAAACGTCCGCACTCCGGCAATGCCTGGGGGCCCGCACTTCCCCGAAACAGCTAGGCTTCATCTTCCCGCTCCTCATCAGGGTGCACGCAGCCCCCCTTCTCTCGCCCGCCTAACCCCTTCAAGGTGCTGTACAGCCGTCGCTCACCCTAGGACCCCTCCTAAGATCCCTCCGGGCTGTGGCCCCAGCACCTACCCGGTAACGCGACAGCCAGGAGCCGATACGGTGGCCGGGGTCCGGCACACCAGTCTCCGGAGAATCACGTGCCTTGCCTGGCTCCGCCCACTCTCGCGTTGGCCCTCACCTGGAGAGAATCGTCCACCAATCGAGCGCCCGCAGGCTCCAGGGGGCGGGGCTCAAATCGGAATCGCTGTCGCTAGCTCCGGAAGAAGGTTGGAACTGTGAAGGAGAAAGATCACAAGCTCGCAAGTTTACCAGCACTGTGGAGGTTAGTTACATCGTTGCCTGGCAACTAATAGGGATGGGGCGGGGTTAATTAAAAGCACGACGTTTTTCATACTCTCGCGAGAGTGAACTAGTAGACGTCTTGAAAGGGTGTGACTTTATGGTGACGGGAAAAATTTTTGCGGAGATTAACGCTTTCCTCCCTGAATCCCAGCGGGACCTCGTTAGATCCAAGAATTGAAAAGTAAGCTATAGAAGAGGCTTTGCTAGAGTAAACTACCAAAGTACTTAAGCTGATTACATCTTAGGGTGTTTGCATATTCCCTTAGGTCAGACACTGTAAACTAAGAAAATCAACTACTCTCATCGCTGAACCAGGGGCTTCCCTGGACCCATGCACATACTCCAGTGGACTTACCACCTTATTTATTCTCCCGCTTACAGCCCACGCTGTAACGTCTGTTATGGCCATCTTGAAGAACAAAAGAGGAAAATTGCTCCAGGAGAAAACTGGCTCATGAAAGTTTTGAAAAGATGCATAGTTTCCATATAACTTATTCAGAGGCAGATTTTTACAGTGGAGGTGAGTTTGCACATTTCAAGTGAACTTTTCACAGTTGCCCTCAGGCCCATTTGATGCTTGATTGTGGTGATAAACCCCCTCTAAGCAGGGTAGGCTTTGCTCCTCTGGATCCAGGATAAAAAAAGAACGAGTACATATTTCTCGGAAGAGAGGTAAATTCAGAGATGTTTTTATTCCTCTTTCACCTGGGGATTAAATTCATCCTTCAAAACAGCTCAAATAGTACCTCCTCTTTGACGCTTTTTACAACTCCATTACGTCACAGTTGCCCTCTCTGTGCCTATACAACTCCGTTTTATCCATTCAGCAAGTATTTACTGAGCACATATTTACGAGGCACAGTCCTTTGTTCTAGGGATACAGGGTTGAAAAGGGTCACATAATCTAGCATTATCACGTTGCTATGAAAGTCAGTAGTTATGTGTCCTTTACACACCACCCTCTCTCTCGATTACGTGAGTAATTTGCCATTTTGAAGGCAGGAATGGAGTCGCCTTGGTATTTGTATACCTAGGTCCTGAACTGGAATCTGGATGACACATGTTGGTCTTCTTCATTCCTCCTCCTTATACTGCCACCACCTCCTGAATGTAGCAATTGCCCTCAGCCCAGATGCTGACCTCATATTGCGCTTTCTGATGTGGCAAATGGACGTTTTCAAGTTACAGTCTTATGGAGGTGGAAAGGCCAGTCTTCCGGCCCCCTTAACCTCAATGAGTCAATGTTTGCTGCAGCCATGAGTCTAGCCACGAGTATTTGTTTGTCTTTGACTGGTCATTTGAGTCACAGACCATTCTTGGCATTCGTTTGCATTCCGAACTATGATTCTGTTTCTCCCGGTGTAGTTTGGAAGCCCCAATTTAATCATTTCCGACCTAATTGCAAGGATACATTCCACTGTATTCGATTCAGGAACTCCTTCCGCCGCTCTCTTCCCTTAAGCTTATATGCTTCCGACGCGGAGGGTACCTCACTCGCTCTACAGGTAGCAAGACCAGTCGTACGTTAGGAATACGGGTAAATCTTCATCCTTTGCCTCCTGAAGGGGGTGATGGTGAGAGTCAGTTATCACTTTAAGAGTGTGCTAAAACAGAAGCCGCAGAGTATCGCGAGAACTGTTACAACCAGCGACATCTCGCGATGTTTGGACCGGCAAAGGGTGGCTATTTTGGAGTCCACCCGCCGGCTTTTTACCCCGGCGGCGTCTGCCAACCTGCTGCCGGGACCAAAGCTGGCCCCACGGGTGTCTGGTCTGTGGGCGGCCGGACCGACACGATGTGGCGGCTCCGCTGCAAGGCCAAGGATGGCACCCATGTTTTGCAGGGGTTGTCCAGCCGGACCCGGATGCGGGAACTCCAGGGCCAAATTGCCGCCATCACCGGGATCGCCCCCGGCTGTCAGCGAATCCTCGTAGGATACCCGCCCGAGTGCCTGGACCTCAGCAACGGGGATACCATTCTGGAGGATTTGCCCATTCAGTCAGGTAAGGGAATCGAGGCTAGGCCAAGGCTAGTCCTGAGAGGTCGGAGAGAGGCATAAGGGAGAACAAACAGGGCGAGGTGGTGTGGGTCAGCTGGGGGCTTGGAGGAACAGGATAGGAAAGATAAAAGAACAGAGAACCCTGACGGAGGCCAGGGCAAGTGTCTAGCAGGGAGGGCCCAGCCTCTGTGAGAAGCCCAAAGCCTTGGACTAACCTTTCCTCAATCTGCTTTTTGGTCTCTCTTGAAAACGTCTCATTCATTTTGTTTCCCTCTGCGTCCGCAACAGTATTTTAAAAATGGGACCTATTTTCTCTGTCCTGATGGCTCTTTTCTCCTATATCACTGAAATAAGACAGCCGGTCTGAAGGATGTAGGATACTTTTTTGCTTTCCTGGTTCATTTTTGCAATCACCTTCATACATACTTACTTTGACAGTTGTATTCATTTTAGAGTTTGCTCTGACACACCCAGTAAAGGCCCTTTCAAGTTCTAGACAACAGCAGTTATTTCTGTGCAGTATTAAAACTTGAACAGCAATAATGGTAATTAAAAGCTTTCCGTTGTTGTATCAAGGATCCTGTAAACACTGAACAGGGTAGGTATGCAAGTTTCGTAAGGAGAGGACCCCCTAGTGGCCGAGTCTGTGACAAACACCTTTTGGAAGTGTTTTTAAACTGCAGAGAGCAAGCTTAAGAAAATTTTGTTCTTGAAATGTATCTTTTTAAGCAAGTATGAAGGTGTATAATTCAGGCCCCTTTACTAAATGAGGTGCAGCCTAAAATGTTTTGCTCTTTGTTCCATTTGCGTCTTTATGAAGATACAGTGAACAGAAAGTGTTACTGGTCACATGTCTGCAAAGCTGTATTCTCCCTAGTAACCCCAGCTTATACTTTAACTCCTTCTGTTTGTAATTTACAGACTTGGTTAGTAAACACCCAATTTCACCTATACTTTCTCTTCAGTTCTGGATTTGTTTTATTTTTGACAGGCGACATGCTGATTGTTGAAGAAGACCAAACCAGGCCCAAAATGTCACCTGCATTTACAAAACATGGTGCTCCTAGTTACATCAGGGAAACTTTGCCTGTGCTTACTAGAGCGGTGGTCCCAGCAGACAACTCTTGCCTCTTTACCAGTGTGTACTATGTTGTTGAAGGAGGAGTCTTGAATCCAGCTTGTGCCCCTGAGATGAGACATCTCATAGCACAAATTGTAGCAAGCAATCCAGACTTCTACAGCAAGGCAATACTGGGAAAAACAAATCAAGAGTACTGTGACTGGATCAAAAGGGATGATACTTGGGGTGGAGCTATTGAGATATCCATTTTGTCTAAGTTTTATCAATGCGAAATATGTGTGGTGGATACACAGACAGTACGAATTGATCGTTTTGGGGAAGATGCAGGATATACCAAAAGGGTCCTGCTTATTTATGATGGCATCCACTATGATCCGCTTCAGCGTGTCTTCCCCAACCCAGACACCCCTCCTCTGACCATTTTCTCCTCTAATGATGATATTGTTCTTGTGCAAGCACTGGAATTAGCAGATGAAGCTAGAAGCAAGAGACAATTTACTGATGTAAACCGCTTCACCCTGAGATGCATGGTATGTCAGAAGGGATTAACTGGACACGCAGAAGCAAGGGACCATGCCAAGGAGACAGGCCATACCAACTTCGGAGAAGTGTGATCCATGCATAATGAGGATTGACGCCTACTACCTCACAGATCCAGAAGGTTCTGGGTTTTCCAATAAGCTATTCGTAACCCTAAAGAACAAAAGGACACAATGCTTGAACCATCCTTTTAACCTAAAGCCACTAAGACACTGAATTCCTTGTTAAAATTAGTGTGCAAGTTTACAGATGTGTGTCTACAGTGGTGATACATGCCCTCTCTCTGCTGGGGTGACAGAATATAGGTGGTCCTTGCTACCTACTGACACTAACCTGAAGATTGACTTTTAGTATTATAAACTAGCACCCAGCAGCATTAACTTGTAGAAGAAAACAACTTCATATTTTGGGTAATGCGAAAGGCCTCAGGTGAGGCCACCGGACATAAACCACAATGTCTCCGGTAATTGAGTCCTTTTAAGAACTGAGTTAATAGTTTCTAAATTATGAATTGATTCCTCAAGTGAAGATACTCAGAATTGTCAAAACTGATTTATATTGCAACTTGGTAGACTTTATAAATGTGTACTTCACCAGTTAAAAGTACATAAGAAGCAATTTTTACAGGGTTGAGTCTACTCCTTGAGAATGTTACCTAACAACGAGAACTGATAGTGCCCAGTTAAGGATTTCTAGTGTTATAAAAGTAGAATGTATTAGAGAGGAGGTGCCTGAGCAGATTACTGAAGCTTTAAAAGACCGTTGGCCTCATGTTTTGTTTTGTGTTTTTTTTTTGTGATACGAGGGCCTCTCACTGCTGTGGCCTCTCCCGTTGCGGAGCACAGGCTCCGGACGCGCAGGCTCAGCAGCCATGGCTCACGGGCCCAGCCGCTCCGCGGCATGTGGGATCTTCCCGGACCGGGGCACGAACCCGTGTCCCTTGCATCGGCAGGCGGACTCTCAACCACTGCGCCACCAGGGAAGCCGGGCCTCATGTTTTAATGCAACTCATTTATTCATCTTTGTCACATTGGATAAAACTTTAAAATTAAGCAGGATATTTTTTTTAATTGTAGTTCCTTGAAATTTGAATGCTCTATTTTTGCCTTTCTACCTAAGATTTGCCTGGAGGGATTTGATTTCCTCAGCCTTTTGTTAAGAGCACTTCCTCCAACTCCTAAAAAAACTTTTCATCTAAAATTATAACGTGCTTTGGTTTGGTTTTTGTGAGATCTTTGGCTACCTAAACAGAATTTGTTTTCATGCTAGCCTTATCCCACCACTAATGCTCTTTTAAATGATTTCATGTGTCTGAAAATTAGCACTTTTATCCACCATCTTTTACCTTGACTTTCGCATAGTTTTAAAGTAATCGGGATAATAATATTGAATGAATTTGTTTCACTTACAAAATATGACAGTTTTTAAATCTTTGCCTTATTCAGCCTTCTCAGAATTCTGCTGATATTAGATGTGTAGCCATTTGCTTGGTGGGCTAATCCACAAGGCACACCCTCTAAAACTTAGCTTCACTATGAGATCTTCCAGATAAAAGTTTTCTACCTCTTTTCTTAATTCTTCTGACGATCAGGGATGCTAAATTATAATTTGTTATGCATTATCTTACATAATGTGAAGAGGCCTGATGTTGTAAAGTTTTATTATCTTGGTCTCATTTTTGATTAAGTATCTCACTTAGAAAACCAATGGTATGGGAATTCCCTGGCGGTCCAGTGGTTAGGACTCCGTGCTTTCATTGCCAAGGGCGCGAGTTCAATCCTTGGTTGGGGAACTAAGGTCCCACAAGCCGCGTGGCGTGGCCAAAAAAAAAAACCCAATGGTATACTTTAAAGCACATGTATATTTTAGCATATCTTCTTGGCAAATGTTTCAAAATTGAGATTTACTTTTAGCACTTTCACTTGGTAGAGATAGCCATATAAAATTAAGGAATATGTAAACAATTTAGGAGAAATGTACCTTTAAGGAACAATTCACAAAATATGCTTGAAATCATTAGATGACATTTCTTGAGTACCTTTTGTGTGAATAGGTCTTTTAGGCATTATAAGTTATTGTGGTCACTATAGCTCAAAAGTGTTTAATTTTCTATTTAACTAAGCCTTAAAAATAGCACTTGTGAGTTTGTGAAACTTAATGTTTGGCGATCATAATGTGTACAAGTGAATATGATTGAATATCTCTTTGTACCTGTCATCAGGTCTAAAAGGATTTTGTATCTTATTTCCCCCAGAAAATATTAAATTTAAAGCTGTAGGTTAAGAGTATACCACTGGGTAGCACCCATCAAATTGAGCTTTATGCATCATTATTCATAAACCTTGCCTTCCTTTCTTAAGTGTTTCAGGGGCCAAACTTGATACTTGCTTACTGGAATTTTAGAGAAGTCTATTCATGCAACAGATATTTATTGAGTAATTTATAATGTCAGGTATATATTGATGCTTCCCAGCATAAATTTCTGTTGCTTTAAAATTGAGTATCCTTTATCTATCAATACATTTGATTTTTTTTTAATTTTGTATTGAAGTATAGTTAATTTACAATGTTGTGTTAGTTTCAGGGGTACAGCAAAGTAAGATATATATATATATATATATATATATATATAATTTTTCAGTCAATACATTTGATTTTAATTTAACAAATTTCCAATTTAACAAATGGAAAAAAATAGAACCTGATATTTTATAAAATTAAACCTGTTATTTTAAGTGGCTTTGTTTGCATATTTAAGCTTATGCTTTTATAACAAGTCAAATATTTATTCAGGGGCTCTTAGTTTATTCTGTTTTACCTGTTAATTAGGTTGTGCATTCTTCAGTTGGATACTGATAGATTGCTCTCAATAATGACTTTTTAAATTAATCAGCTGCTGAAATTCAGCACTAGGACTTTTAAGTAATGTTCTGATCATGGGGAATTCAAGATGAAGCACTATTTGCAGATCATTTAATTATTGAGGATTTAAAAACCTAAACTTGTGCTAATTCTGAACTCAAGCTTGTAAGCCTCACAGAACTTAGATGTTTTTAATTGTACTTCTTATACTCTTGAAATTAGTTTATTAATGTCTGTAAATTCTAATCTTGAGAATTTTGAAATCTTGCAACAGGATTAAAAGAAACTTTTTCTTAAATTTGCTGTTGAGTAGAGTGAAACCCCTCTTCCTATTCATTCAGTTTTTGACTGCCATACAAGATTTTTTTTTTTTTAATTAAAACGAGGATAGTTTACATTGGTAGCAGAATGAATGAAGATTGTGCTTTCCCATCCCCCACTCCTCCTTTCCCTTATTCTTCTTTTTCTTACTCTTCTTTGGATTTAAAGATTAGATGTAGGGCAGTGAATGTACTTCTAGATAGAGAGAGTGATTTCAGAAGTTAATATCTCTGGGAATTTTGTGATGTGATAGCCATGTGAAGACATCAGTATAGTACATCTTCTGTTAGTGGTTCATGGTTGATTTCTTAATTGTTTCCCATGAATGGATAATGGGCACAGTCAAGTGATACCCTTGAAAGGTTTGGGGGCTGGTCAGCTTGAGGCGGTTGGCAAAAACTAATATAGTCATACCACTTGATTATTCCATGAAGTTCAAGTCCCAGCAAAATCATAATCAGGAATGAATTAACATATTATTTAGCTGTACATGCCCATAAATGCGCCTAACTTGCTTGTCTAGCTTATTCTTTCTATCTTGTGTAGGCATTAAAACATGAATGTTGCAAGTTGCCCTAACTGAACATAGTTTTCTATGTCTTTTTTGAAAAAATTGAATAGGGAGTTTAGAAGATTAGCAGCAGAGGGATTTTTTTTTTCTTTATGTGTCAGGTGGCCTTCCTAAACTTCCATATATTAAGATTTTTATGTTCTTTCATGTATTGAGAACACACATTTGTTATTATTTGCAGCACTTTAAAAATATGAAATAAAAGTTTACATGTTAGCCCTCTCCGGGGACCTTGTCAAAGACATTAAAATATAATTCTGGAACTGCCAACTATCAGTTCTTCTTAATCAGCAGTTACCATCAGTGAATAGTGTATCCAATGGTACAACATTCTGGTGTTTTGGTAACAGCAGAACTCCATTTCAGTAACTATTAGCAGCATGCTCTGTGCCCTAGCATTCAAAGTGTTACTTTTTTCTATAATGTGATTGTTCTTTATTCATTGTACAATGCAGTATTCATATTTGTCCTTGTAGCACAAAGATGACTACTACAACTTTGAAAAGATTAGATTCTTAAAACCCTTCATTTGTTTCTAAGCAAAACGATTTTGAGCTGATTTTTGAGTCAAAGGCCTTAAAAGCATCATGTGTAAGCAACATCATTAAGTCTAAAGTGAAACACTTGATTTGAATAAGCTAGTTTATTAACTAAAGATGTTTTCTTACTAAGAGTTATGGTATTTCAGCACATTTCATCCAACTTAAAAGATTATAAAACTTCCCTAATTGTGGAAAAGGGTTTGTTTTTTTTTCCTTCTCCAGAAATTAGTTGGCATTTTGTTTACAGTGCTTTGAGTATTTGACTTAGAAGCAATTATTATTATTGCTTTAGGTCTTGGTTGATAGAATTTAGAGGAGATTGGTAACCCTGCCGTGCTGTTTCAGAGTAAAGGGAGAAAGGGGCAAGAAGATAAAGTGCCACATAAACAGAAGAGATCCTCAAATGAATGCATTCCTAGTCTTGAATTATGCTTTTCAGAAAATTTTTCAAGCAATGCCTTTGCATCACCTTAACCCTCCCCCATTTCTTGGCATAGAATGTAGCAAGGCCGTAATGGAAAGGCTTGTCAGTACAGTATAAAACCATGACTACAAGGATTTTGCTATAATGCTTTTTTTTTTTTTTTCTTTGCGGTACGCAGGCCTCTCACTGTTGTGGCCTCTCCCATTGCGGAGCACAGGCTCCAGACGTGCAGGCTCAGCGGCCATGGCTCACGGGCCCAGCTGCTCCATGGCATGTGGGATCTTCCCAGACCGGGGCACGAACCCGTGTCCCCTGCATCAGCAGGCGGACTCTCATCCACTGCGTCAGCAGGGAAGCCCTGTAATGCTTTTTTATACTTGCTTTTAAAAATACAAATCTATGTCTAAGAGTTTAGGGATAGTGAAGATATGATTTAGTTATGTTGTAGGCAAACAGGTTAACCTAAGAAAGGTTTACAATTCCTACTAAGATTACATGAGCGTGACTCTATACTGGTATAGGATATGT